TATGCTTGATCTTCGAATGTAGCGTGGCACGGCTGATCCCGAGCATATCTGCTAAGGAGCCCCTGGCGATGTCCGGCGAGATGAATATAATCTCGGGGTATATTCCCTAGTTAGTGAGAGAGAGAGAGAGAGGACTAAGCGAATCCCGTCATGCTCACGACGACGCGCTTTCTGATGCACTCTGGGGAATCGATAGTACAGCGGCGCGCACATAGCTCCGGGGTGACGATGACGGGCGCCTACCGGTACTATTGAAGTCGAAAACTCGTGGCAACGACCGGGGTAGGCTGTTGCAGCTTTGGGTATCTCAGGTGAAGATCCGGATGCTGGCACACGGGAGAGCAAAGTGCAGCAGCCCTGGTCCATGGAGAAGTCAGCCTATCCGGTCTGCAGGAACGGTGGCTGCCAGCGAGGGGGTCTGGCGTGGCGTAGTTCGTGCCTGGATCGGATGCAACCTTGCGCTGGAAACAGCAGGGGATTTGCTGGTGTGCTTGCCGACTGCAGTGGTAGAAGAGTGCTGCACCACTCTGAACGCCTCGAGTGCTCGAGTGCTGCTCAGAGCGGGGGTTTCCGCGCTACCGGGCCCTGCCTGCATTAGCGCAGGCAGCCGGCAGCCTTTTCTGTGCAGCCCCCGATCTCTCCAATTCATCTGTCTCTTGGGGCGGTTCTCACGATCGAGACTATCTTTTCCACCGAGTATAGCATCCTGTCCGCCTGTGCCAGTGGCTTGCGCTTCGCTTGTCATGCCCGTCGGAGGGCCTGAACAGCACCATCGTCCACCAACTCGGCTTGTCATCAATGAGAAGCGCTGCCTTAACCTGCCATCGCCCAAGGGCCTTTGTTGGTCGCCTTTGAGGCTTTGACGCTGGCTAATCTCGTGGCAGGCTCCTCCAGACAAGAGCGGCACGTTTGGAACCACCCACGGATCACAATGGCTGCGGAGTCCGGAGTAATTAGGGCCACATTGACAGCCCGGAGCTGAGTTGGCGACCCGCGCTCGGAGCTGCCGCTAGCCAAGGAGAGCCCTGCTGGTCAAACTAGAGCGCCTCTTTGCTGCCATGGAAAAGTTCCCATTGCATCATAGCCCGCCCTGTGCCCTCACGTTCCTGCCCTGCCGCCGCCGTTGCGGAGCAGACTTCGCTAAGCGTCGAGCAGCGACCCCTGGGGATTTTTGAGCTAAACGGGTGCCCAAGTGGCGGCCACTCACCACCCCAGCGGCTCTCGAGTCGTCATGGAATTATTATTCTCATCGCGTGCTTATCACGGCACGGGAGACGGTCACTCCTGCTCGTCTGCCGGGGTCTGTCGGTCGTGCGGCCACGAGCCGCCGTCTCCAAGAACCCCGTATCCTAGAGCACACGCACTTATTAAAGCCACCACATCCCGTGCCGTCCTGGTGACGGTTTTTAGATTGCCGCTTTGTCCACTACATTTCGACATCTCTCGCTCTGCCGTCCGTTCTCAAAGGACTCGAGGGAAAAGCAATTTCTAGTTCCTGCCGTGATCAACCAGGGATACAGGATCCGGCGCCCAACTAACACCCAAAGAAGCAAGCCTGGTTTCTCCTTGCGGCACGTTTGCCTGCCTCTTTCCATTGTTCCCTTTGCTGGGTGCCGCCTGAGACAAGGGTTTGGACATGCTTCGCAAGTTCTCAAGGAGTTTCTCGCACTTGAGCGACACAGGGCCCGACGCCCGAGGTCCTGGCGCCGGCTCACACTCGAGACCCTTAGCTGGCAGTGATTTTCTCGCAGACATTCTCCCCAACACGGTACCAGCATCTGTTACCCATAGTGATTCTGGTTATTCGTCGAGAGCCTGGCAAGCTGCAGAAAGTCCTCACATACCCAGGAGCCGCTCACAACAGAGCACGTACGACGTCGACACTGTTCCTGCAAGAGATCCGTACCTAGACAGCGGCGAGTTTCCATTGGAGCCCGACTTCCCAACCATGGACGACTTCTACGTTCCCGATGGTAATGCCCAGTACCTCGTGCGACCGGAAAGGTAAGAAGACACCTACCGTCGAGTAGGGCTATCACAGGAATGCTTACACGTTACATCAGTTCCCAAAGCGAGCCATACTACTCCAGTCAGCACTCGAGGCGGCCTGCTTCGCCCGAGACGGTCCAGTATCAAGGAGGATCGACGAGATCACCATCAGATGCACGCAAGAGCATTATGACCAAGTCTTCACATGTCCCTTCATCAGCGTCTTCGTTTGTGCCGAGCAACCCAACCCTACCGCCGTTGCAGACCAAAGGTGCCGGAAACAACGACGGGCTGGAGCCGCTCGCCGAGGAGGAGATCGACCCAGCGTCTTTTGACCTGGTCGTCCCTGCTAATGCGCCGACACAGTACTCACTTGAGGCACGCGCCGAGCTGCTCTTCTCAAAGGAGCATCTCAAGGTCATATTCGAAGACCCGACGCTCCTCCAACGATTCACAACGTTCCTCTGCAACGTCCATCCAGCTTCTGTGCCCGTACTGGTGTACTACCTGGATGCGTTGAAAGCCCTAAAGGCGATGGACTACGTTAACTCCATCACGGCATCACTGAAGCCGCTCAAAGGGTTTGACCTCTCTCACAATCCGATACAGAAGACGGTAAACGACGACCTTCGGGCCAAGGCGGATCAGGCATTTGAGCAGCTCGTGCGCGAGGACCTGCCCGCTTACATCACACAGACGTGGGTGCGGACTGTGAGCATTACCATAAAGCGGCGCATCGCCGACACCTTGCCTGTACACCTGCGGGACCTCTCGGAGGGTCTTGCCGAGGTTTTCTGTCTCACGGACCCTTCTCGTCCCGAGAATCCGATTATTTTCGCTAGTGAAGGTAAATCTTATTTCTCAGTCAAGCAATCGAAACATCATAGGACTAACAATGCTGCATAGAATTCCACCGGACAACTCAATATGGCATGAACTACGTGCTCGGTCGCAACTGTCGCTTCCTACAGGGCCCCAAGACGAGTCCGTCCAGCGTACAAAGACTTAAAGAAATGGTCAGTGCTGGCAAGGAGCACTGCGAGACACTCCTCAACTATAGACGAGATGGGTCACCGTTCATGAACCTGCTCATGGTCGCGCCACTGTTCGACAGTCGGGGCAAAGTTCGCTACTACATCGGTGCCCAGGTCGACGTTTCGGGTCTGGTTAAGGAGTGCGCTGGACTAGAGTCGATGGAAACTCTTGTGCAGCAACACGAAACCCTCGAGGCTGAGCGAAGAGGGGGCTTCGACGCGAGCAAGACGACCGCCCTCACTGGCGAGCCGAAAGACAAGGACGAGTTCCGTAACCTTGCTGAAATGTTCAACCTGAACGAGCTTAAGACTGTTCGCGAGCACGGCGGATCGATGCACCGCACGCGGCAGGCAGTCCAAGGAAGCGACGGTGTTGACGATGGCAACCTGACAAATTGGAACAAGCCGAGACTGCTCATCCGTGACGACGCCTCGATGCAGCGGCGGGACAGCGACCCCATCATGACTCTCCCCGGAATCACAGGCGGCAAGCTGAGCGGCATATATGAGCACTACCTCCTCGTCCGGCCGTATCCAACCTTGCGGATCTTGTTTGCCAGCCCAACCATGCGCGTCCCCGGCATGCTACAGAGCAGCTTTATGGACCGGATTGGGGGCTCCCGGCAGGTCAAGGAGGCGCTCACGCAGGCTTTTGCCGACGGTCACGGCGTGACCGCAAAGGTTCGCTGGATCACCGACGCGGCGACCCGCTCCAAGCACTCCGCCAACCCGGGCGACAAGGAGTCCGCTGCGGCGGGCAAGGGCCGCTGGATACACTGCACGCCGCTAATCGGCGGCAACGGGGCGGTCGGCGTGTGGATGGTGGTGCTGGTCGAGGATGAGGCCGAGGCGAGCGTGCGCCGGCCCCGCGAGGCGCCGCCCGTGAATAGGCACGTCGGGCACGGCCATCAGGACCAGTTTGATACCGACAGGCAGTCGCTCTCGAGTGGCGGGCACGGCGGCGCGACATCTCGGCCCCAGACACAGCAGCATAGACACCGCCGCGGCGACGAAACGCCAGACATTGACGACGTCAGCCTTGGCGGCGGAAGCTTCCTGGACGCACAGCAGCATCACCAGCAGCAGCAGCCTTCGCACGGCGATCTACGGCAGCACCTCACAGCTAGGCGACGGCCGCCGCAACAATACCAACATCATCAGTAGGCCTCCTCCGAAGCGGCGGGTCACCAACGAGCGACCCACGCGCCGCTGTGAGGACCCTTCTGATATTTGCGGCATAAGGGGAAACTGGCGTTGTATGAGACGGGAAACCGAGAAGGCCCATCATCCGAGTGGGATTAGCACAGTTCATTGTAAAACTTCCTTGGCATTACTTACCCTTTTCGCAAGCGGGTTGTGGGACCGTATGCAGCGGTCTGGGTGATGGAGCATGACGGTTATTTTCACATTTTGAAACCCATGGGTGGAGGTAAGGACGAGCGTCAGGGCACGACAATATGTATTTCGACGTACATGTTCCTCCTCAAACTTATAATGATGAATGCGTACATATAATTTTGAAATTCAAGCCCTTCTGATAGTTTGAACTCTTGAGCAAAAGAACTTTGACGCGAGGCTATGTTAAAAAAATTATTTACTTTGGAAGTATCTTGATAAGGTCCACTGCAAGTTGTATGCTGTATGTTGTATGTTGTACGACGGCTATGGACCTTTGCTGGGTTGTTACGACTTTACACAGAGATGGCACCGTGATAACCTGGGCAGAAACTATTGTCAGGGGCAAGAAAGAAAAGCCACCTCGTATCTAGTAAACACCCGCGATTCCCTCGAACCCCCCTTGCACGAAAGCTGGTAGGTCTCGTGAGCCTGTATATTTTCGAGAACATAAAAGAAACATGTATAGAGACTAAATAACTTGATTGCTACAAGAACTCACGATATCTTCCCATTCCATCTCCACTGCCACGTCTTCTAGTGGACTGGTACTAGAATAAGCCGGCCTTACCTCATCAATTGGGCAAAGTGCCAGAGTGGTTAATGGGTCAGCCTCGAAAAAGCTGATCTTCTCCTAACGGAGAGCGGTCAGCTTGCATACGTAAGCTGATGACTTCGGTCGCGCAGGTTCGAGTCCTGTCTTTGTCGCGACTAAGCGCATTGAGTAACCCAACTTCTTTTTTGTTTGTTTTTTGCCCGTTGTTGTGACGGAAGACCTGGGTCGTGAGGGGGTGGGCTGCGGGTTGTTGTTTGGTTGTGGTTGATGCTGTGTCGTTATGTCCTTTCTTCTTCTCCCACTAAAGGGTGGCGAACTGCTTTTTTGCGAGTAGACTTCGGCCACCTGCCCTGAACTTTCTGAACTGTACATTAGGTACTCTCGTTTATAGCCCAACTGCGCCAGTTACGCTTGGGATATTTCTGTGCGTGGTGCTAAGAATGGTACCTATCTCTTTGCAAGACTACTCATTCTTTCTAAGGAACAACACTTTGCTTTGCGCAGCTTGGCCATTAACTTCCGCGTAGCCTTCAAGTATCTCTGGGAATACATCCGCACTTGCAGAATCATGACTTACAGAGGAGCTCGTTGGTTTAGTGCCTGCCTGACCCCTGCAAAAAAGTTTAGCTCCGCTCCGGCGACCACCTTCCGTCATTGACGGCACCACTCGAGGGTAATTGCATCACTCACTCTCTGACTGTCTCTGCCTTTTAATTACAGTCACCAGCTGCGCAGAGCTCGACGACCATAGCCAGCCGAGCGGGGCTCCGACACGAACACTGTGAAATCAACATCATCTACCGCGGAGCAGCATAATCGCATTGCCTCGCCACGCAGAGAGCAGCCTCGAGCAAGCGATCACGAGCTCCCGACGAACGAGCCTCATAGCCTACTCATCACTTACTTCCAACTATACACGAATACACACACACAAAACATGGCATCGCCAACAAATCCCACACAGCCGGCGCCCACGGCCTCGTCGTCGTCTCCACGGCCGCAAGCAGCAGCAGAAGACCTCGTCGCCTGGGAGACCAAGATTCTGCACAACGTGGCGCTGGGCGTGACCCCGCTTGCGCTGGGCGCCATGTTCCTGCCGCCGCGGCGGTTCGACCTGCGGCTCGTGATCCTGGGCGGCGTGGCGCTCTGGGGCACCAACCAGCTCGTGTACGACTACACGGGGACGTCGTCGGTGCAGAAGCTCGGCGGCAGGATCGGGACCCTGGTGCCGGGCGCCGAGCTGCCCGAGAAGGCGCAGCGGACGCAGATGCTGATGAAGCAGGAGCGCGAGCGGAGGGCCGCGGAGGCGCGGGACCAGGCTAGGCTCGAGGCCGCGGGGCGTGGCCTGGGTCTCGGTGCTGCTGCCGCTGGGCAGGGCCAGACAGGTCAGAGTGGGGTTAACACAGAGGGGGAGGCGAAGCCGGGCTCGCTGGAGGCCATCTGGATGGGCGACGCCGAGGAGGACTGGAAGGAGAGGCGGGCGCGGCGAGAGCAGGCCGCGCTGCAGGAGGGCGGCGGCGGCATCTGGGGCCTGATTGTGGACCACATCTCGGACGTCCGGAGCAGCGGCAAGCAGAAGCGCGCCGAGGTGCTCGCAGCGAGGGAGGAAAAGGACAAGAAGGAGGCAGAAGGCACGGCAGAAGGCGAGGCAGGCAACCAGGAAAAGAAGTGAGCGAGGCGCTGACGGGAGGTGATAGGCGCCGTGTGATGACTATGTGTATGATACCGTGTATGTTAGATGTCCTCGTGCATCGCGTCGGACGATATTCGTTATGCGACATGCGGCTTGTAGTTTTTATTTCGCTTTTACTGGCCGTATCTAAACACACGACATTTTATATTATGCCCCCACTGCCTTCTCCTTGTACAGATCCGCATAAGACGCCTCTAGCCTCATATGCAGATGCTCCGCCGCCGTCACCACCTTGCGCTCCGCATACGGGTTGCCGTCTCTGGCCTGGCTGGACACCCCCGCGAAGTCGCGCACCCGCTCGCTCGGCACGGGCACTAGTGGGGTGTCGTGCGCTGGATGGCAGAAGAAGACGAGCGTGTAGCGGGGCTCAACGCTCGATTCGCCCCGAGGCGCTGCTTGCCCTGGTGAGAACGACACCCGGTGAACAGTACTCCGGAGCAGGCCGTTGGTCCAGTACGATAGCAGGTCGCCAATGTTGACGAGGATCGGTGGCGAAGGATCATTCTCCGTTCCCGGCGGGGTAACCGGGACCGGGGCCCATGTGTTTGACGGCGTGAGTACCTCGAGGCCAGCCTGGCCAGGAATGCGGAACAGGAGCGTCACCGAGCCGTAGTCGGAGTGCGCACCAGCGCGAACGTCGTCGGCCTGCGCGTCGGGAGTCTCGCTCGGCGGAGGGTAGCGCAGAAATCTCAAGATTGTCCCAGAGGCAGCGTCTGGGTTGTGTGCCGAAGTAAAGAAGTCAGGAGGTGAGACCTAGGTCATATTGTCAGTCTCAGGGCCTCGAAAGAGAATTGGGACAGAGAATTTATGACGGTCCATACCTCCAGACCGATGCCGAACAAGAGCAGAAGCCTGCGGCACAGGTCATGACAAGCTTCCCGGAAGGTTGCCAGCTCCCCCTGGTGCGCGTCCATTGACGATGGTACTGGCTGCGTCGCACGGCCATCCTCGAAAGGGCCAAAGTTGAATGCCCTGCTCATTGTCAGACGACGACATCAAAAAGGGATGGGGACGAGCACGGACTCTTTGAAGTCGCCAATCTAGAAGTTGAACAAATTAGTACTGTCCCAGGTGGAATAGGCCATGGATCACTTACACGCTGCGACTTGGGATCCAGGGTCTCCGAGTGCATGCCCGACCAACCCTGGTTATTCTTTTGAATGCTACATCGCTGCTTGTCCTCAATGGGCGACTCGAACAGAGTCCTGGACTAGCGGGAACAAAATCAGCAATCAGCAACAGGAAATCTAGCTCGCAACGGCTCGCTCTTCTGATGCTCACCAGCTCAAAAGTCCTCTGGATCAGGTCGGCAGAGATGTCCTTGCCGGTGTTTCTGATGTAGATGAAGCCGTGCTCGGCGGCGGCATCGACGAGGCGCCTGGCGACACCGGCCTGGTCGGCCCCGTTGGCCGAGATGTCAATGATGGGGATCTGCGCGTTGGCTGCCATGGCTGCGTGAGGTAGGGCAGGTGGTGTACTGGTGTACTTAGTGCACCGTGCAACGCGGGGCAGGTGTGCGGGAGCTTTGCGCGCCGGAGCAGTGGAGGGGTCCAGCAGTCGGCAGCAGCAGCAGCAGGGGCCGCCGCTCCAGGGGTACGGCCCTGTTTGTACCCAAGACCTGCATTGCACAGCCCTGCAGGCAGCCTGACAAAGTAGAGGTACATGGCCCGCCCAAGCCTAGCGGCAGGCACAGGAGCTTGCCGACCGGTGCCAGGCCAGGCTGCGACAAGCCGGAAGGAAGCTGGTGAGGCAGCTGCTGCGTTCCAACTTCTGGATGTGGCAGCGCGCATCGTTGTTTGTCCAGAGCCCTCCAGCCACCCGCCTCTCACGACTCCGGCGTCGCACGCGCACGCACGCCTTCTCTTTCTCACCGACGCCGACCAATTGTCACACGAGCTGGGTTTCCCGTGTGCCAGCTTGTTGTTTGCCTTTGCGAAGCGACTCCGCCGTCGCCGCATCGCCGCCGTTGTCAACCTCGACCTCAACCTCAACCTCGTCTTGTATCCATACGCAAACAACAGCTCCCACGCCCCTCGCGCGACCGAATGAACTACTGCCGACCCGAACGAACCCCGATATCTACAGCAACAACCATCAGTCCTTTGCGACTTACCATCGCCTCCGCCGATCCACCCCAAGGTAGCACCAACAGACAGCTACCTAGATAGCTACAAGTCAACATGCCGGGTGAGTACCTCCAGCGCACCGTAAACTCGATCGTATGATGTCGTGGCATGGGCACTAACCAGGCTCTCTTAAGCTTCCCTAGATGATCCTTGGATCAACGAGCAGGTCCAGTGAGCTAGGCCCCCTCCAAAAGCTCTCACCTACCTCCGGTGAAGAATACTGACCGTCATGCAGGCATGCCGACGTGAGCCAGCTCGAGGACTGTTCTATTGCTGTCGACGCTGCTTTTTACCTCCAGCTCTTCCTCGACAACTCCCCGTTCCACGAGCCCCTCCTGCCTGCGCTCGGCGGCCTCACTGGCATCCAAACACACATCGAGTCCGATCTCGACAGCTGGAAGGAGAACAAAACGATACCCTTGTTCGTATTCAATGGGCAGTCCGTCGTTGGCCAGGATGAGGTTTCGGTACAAAGAGGCAAGCAGGCCATCACAGGGACCGATTCAGCCTGGGGCCTGTACTTCCAGAGCCAAGCCAACGAGGCCGTGGCCGCCTTCGGTGCGCATCGGGGCGCCTACCTTGTCCAGAACCTGTTCCCTCTTCTGCAGAGCATTCTGAAGAGCCGTGGCTTGCACTTTCTGGTTCCGCCGTTCAATGCCTCAGCTCAGGTGAGTCGCTTAACAACAAAACCTTGCTACTTACATGCCTGCTGACAACGAGAAGATTGCGTATCTCGACATGATCGAGTCGGAGCAATGTGCTGCTGTCATGGGCGCACAGGAGCTACTGCTCTATCCGATCAAAGATCACGTCATCCGCTTCATTGATTGGGACGCCGGGAAGTTCTCAGCAATCTCCAAGAAGAACATCATCAAGGCCCTGGGTGTCAGCGACCGCATGTTCACAGATGCCCTGCTTATGACTGGCACAACTTTCCTTCCGGCTTTCCCTCCGCTGCACGACCCCGCGATCACGCCCCGTCAACGGTCCAGCATCCAAGACGCGGTCAATATGCTGCGCACATCGGACAAGGTCGTCGCCAATGCTTGTGCGTCCTTCAACGACATCCTCCAGTCTCGGGATCCGAACTGGCTGCAAAAGTATCGTAAATCGCGTATGGCTGTTGACCACTTTGTCTTCATTGACGAGAGTGGCGAGGTCAAGGTTCATGACTATGAGCACCTCACATCGGACAACTGGGAGTACCTAGGTTTGCAACTACCCGCGGAACTGCTTCATTACCTAAACACTGGACTCCTAGGCGCTCGGACACTCGGCTGGATTTCGAACAACCAGGTCATTGTGTTCCCAACACTAGATGGCGTCAAGTCTG